ATCTCGAGGGTTTCAAGGAGCGGAGCCGAGACCTTTTTTAGGTTTGTCAACGCAGTGGGGAGCTCCTGGACGGAGGTGAGGGTAATCCGGAGAGACCGCCAGCGATGAGACTCGGGGGTGAGCTGTGCAAATATGGTCTTTGCTGACAGATTGCGACAGTCGATACTGATGTCGAGGGGTAGGGATTGTGATCGTGTGAGATGCTCGGTGACCCAGGCGATGGGATTCCGGAAATCCTTGATGTTGGGCAGTTTGTCGACAGCCTTTTTTGAGCGGGAAACATGGAGAGTCGTCCACAACGCTGGGGTGTGTATGGCCACCTGCCGCCATCGATGACAGACGTGCATCACGGTCGTCATGAACGGTGTCATCTTCTTTACGGTGATGGGCACATACGGCGACTTGGGCTCGCACAGCGACGGGTATGTCAGTGCTGAGCCAGCCTCGAATATTAGTGTGAGCAGCTCGTTTGGGAGGGTGTGGATGATGTTCGAGGTGGACATGTCCTCCATGTCATCGGGTGACCAGCGACTCGCCGCCGTTGTCGAGTAGAGGGTATGGCCGATTTCCATGTCAAAGCCCTAAGCACATTAGCCTCGTTTATTGTCAAATAATCGGGCTCACTCTGGATATGCCGAATCCACCGCGGCGCAAGGTCTCTGACGGTGTCGACGGTTTAGACTGGCAGCTACGCTCAGAGCGCGACGACTGGCCGCGGTCGTTTCCAATGTCCTCATCGTCCGACTCGAAAGAGCGATAGAGGTGCCTAGGCGTTGGGTTGATAGGTAGCGACGCCTGACGTGTGTTGCCAATGACGTTGGGGGAGCTGACCGACGCTGGCACCGAGCAGCAGGCATCCATGTCGAGGAGCGAGGTCATCGACTCGTCGTCGTCGTCACCCTTGAGGTTAAGCCGCCCGTGCCGCCGTTTCAGCGTACTGCAAAATCTGTCAGACGACCACAACGCCTCCATCACTGGGCAACGCACCTCATTTCTGCCGCAATGTCCATGAAAACGGTTATCGGTCGTCGTCGGCGTCGGCGGCGCTGTCCACGACGATGAGCTCAACAATGAGCTGGGCGCTGGGCGTTAAGCGAGGAATGCACAGCCACAAGGGAATGTGCGATCCACGTGTCGGTGCTCTTGGACGTCCTTGCCAAACAATGCCCCAAACAACGCGCTTTCCTTCCCACCATCATGAGCGCGCGCCAACCATTCGTGCCAACTGGCGCTGCTTCCCGCCCAGCATCGCGCGCTGCGTCCTCGAACAAGGCGTCATTCAACCCAGATCGATCCAATCCTCTGAACGCTGACAAGACCTCTGACATGCCCGCCTCCACTACCGCCGCCCCTCTCAACTTGCAGAACCTCATGAAGAAAAAGTCGCATGGTTTACACAAGAGTGGTAGCCGTCGCGACTCTGCTGGCGATACCAGCAAGGACAAGTTACAAGCCCTGCCTGCTTTTCCCAGACGCCTACAGACATCAACACCCAACATCCTCTCGCCCAGGCCCTTGCTTCCGCCCCAGTCCATGTCCCCGCTCTTCGACCCCAAGGCTCCTTCTGATAATCACCCTTCTGCTGACGCAAACGATACGCATATATCCGGCTCATTCACCTCCACCGAATCCTTCGCATCGCCTGATCACTCCAAATTCCTTCAATCGCAGTCCAACCCCAGAATATCCAGCAAACGCTCCAGAAACGACTTTGAAGACGACCAAGATGGCGGCTATCCGTACGATACCGCTTATGGAAATGCGAAGCGTTATAGGCTGGACGATGATGTGAGGCTCTCATTCTCGTAACTATCTTGCCTAACTGTTTCGATAGGAAAACCCGAAATACGCAAACAGCAACTTTTCCCCAAGCCGCATGTCAAGCCCACTCGCCGCCTCGCACCACTCCAACTACGAACCGAGTCCCCAGGCGCGCGGATTACATCGAGAAGTGGAAGAAAGCCAATACGAGCAACAGACCCCCAGCCAGAATAACTCACAAACCCAGCAAGAAGGCGGCGCCTTGAACAAGCTCCTTGGACGCGATGCGGATCTCTTCGTCGAGGAGCACACCGAGAACTACGAGATCTTGATCGAGAAGTGGAAGAACTGCACCATGGACGAGTGGGTCGCTGGCGCCGATGGTATGCACCCGTACTCTTATTGGTTTGCACGAGCTAATGTACCTCCTAGTGATCATGGGAAAATACGGCAAGATTTTGGATTTCGTGAAGGGCCATATGACGTACGTCTCGTTTCTGTCTTCGCGTCTAAATATGCTCATGAATAACGCGCATAGAACGAAGCTGAAGCTGTTCGCGACATTCGACAAGCACGTGGATGCGCACAATGTTGTGCTGGACGACCGGGCGAAGGTTCTATCTGGTGTGAAGCAGCGCTTGGTCAAGGAGAGTGGTAATATTTTGGGTGCTTCGAGAGTGTAGTGTGTTTCGTTTGCTCGTTGAATTACTGCAATCATTTCTGCCTCGCTATGAACGTTAGTATCGATGGGCGGCGCTCTTAACGTCTAATGGAAATGATTATTTTATAGCATGCCGTCTTACTGTTCGCCTTTGACAAAGAAATCGTGTTTTCCGAGCCCAGCATAGTACACAGATAAGCTGGGCGAAGAGCCGAGGAAGTGGCTTGCCAGCCTGGACATGATTGTGATGCGGTTTCTGAAGGATGGCGATATCGGGGTCGTGTACTTTCACGACGAAGCGATGATCTACTAGAGGCTTGGTGCATTGTATATTCTACTGCGTGACAACGCTGGTCTCGTGTCTGCGTATGATGACTTTTTGTTAGGTGGCCTCGTATCTGTCATGTCTTTATCTTTTTATCTCGGCGGGAGTTTGAATCCTGGCTTTCTGAATGCATGTCGGATATGGTGTAACGGCCAACATTAGCGCCTCTCATGTGTTCTGAGGGCTGTTCGTGTTCGCGCTAGCTCGGAGTTCGATTCCCCGTATCCGAATTGGTCTCATAGGTGTCCTTTTTGCGCTGCTCCAGCCTCCAGCTTCTTTTCGTTCTCTGACTCATGAGTCATCGAGGAGAACTTGAAGTTTGCCCGGTGATCTAGGGTGGCGCAGTAAACCTCCGGGGGGTGTTAGTAACGGTATTGATACCGACCCCCTCACGAGGTCCTGGTTTTGAAACCGTTAGTAACGGTTTCGATACCGGCACGTGCTTTTACCACGTGACGTGGCGCACCGCTCCGCCGCCCTCTGCCCGCCCTTATCCCGCCACTTTCTGCTTGCCTGAGTGCCAGCGCGCCATCACGTGAATTTGTCACGTGTCGGTATCGAAACTGTACTCATACCTCAGCCGAGGTTTCAATACCGTATCAATACTGTACACTTTAATTCAATTCGTCGGTCACGGGTCACAGAGGATCCGAAATCGACGAAAAGTCACAAGGGTCACGGCCAAAATTGAGAAAAAGTCCCCGGCGGGGCCCCGCCAGCCTCCCGCCGCAGCTCCGCCGCGGCGGCAATTACCATATATGGTAAGTCGACGAAACGAAAATTTCGTCAGAGCGGTCACAGGTCACATGGACCGACGAATTGATTGAAAGTCTACAGTACCGTTACTAACCGCAGTAAACCCGAGGTGTATCAAAACCTAGGGTTTACTTCACCACCCTACGGTGATCGAGGTGTAGCCTTAGGAGGGAGCAGAGGCAAGGGCTTGCGATCGTCTCGATGTAGTGTAGGGTTGCGCAGTATATTCCCCCACCCGGTTAATAACATGGGTGGGATATGCCCCAACTTTTGGGGTGTTATTAACCATTATTAACCTCCACATGATGCTGTGTGGCGCATTTTCCCGTTCCTGCTCAGATTTTTGACTCTGATGGTGCAGAAAGGGTCAATTTAGGTGCCATTGGGGGGTGGCTTGGTGAAAGTAGATATTTGAACGGGGCCTACGTATACTTCTACCATGATTCGTGTATCTAGCAAAGGGACCGTGCCGTGTATCTTTCCTTTCCTATACTCTGGCAGAGGAGCTCCCGGCGCTACAGTAGCCTACGTAAAAGGTGACCTAGGTACTACTGAATACACATACCGGTCCTTACGCCACCCGAAGTAGAATGTGAATCTGTTCTACATGTGCACAAAAAAAATCTGCTGATATCTTGATGAACACCATTTGGTGTATAAATGGACACGGCTACGTCCGGCAGAGCAAAGCGCGCTATGCCCGGTGATGAGAGCGTGACAAAACGGGGACATCCAGGGGACTGGGACGCACCTGGAAGTTCTGCGCCGTGAGGTCCAGCTCGCGTTCATACTCCTCGAACTGCTTCAGCAGCGCCGTTCTGCGTGGCGATTCCCCTTCGAATGTCGTCTCATCAGCAAGATTACTACATGTTAAAGATGCATACACCTTTTTGTTCATTGATATCTTGGTACGTGGCGCGCTACACGCATGTCCAGTGCGTCTTCTGGTAGAATAGTAAGAAGTCGGCCGTGTACCGCATCTAAGATTGGCATGCTTGAAGTAGTTGCTGCATGAGAGCTCTCTGAAGCGCGATGCAAGAGCCTCGAGTTGTCTGAGTCATCATCGGAGGTAAGAGTTTGAGCAGATTGATGAAGAAGTTACTTACCTACCTAGTACCTACCATATGTAGGCAAACCTGTAAGTCTCAGTGCACGTAGATCGTAATTCTTCTGTAAGTCCTAACTCCATCCAAGCATTCAGTCCAAGTTCAATCAGCATACATAGTGATGTTCGGCTCGCAAAGCGCCGTATGTCGCGTGTTCAAGTGCGGCACTCACCTCCAGACTCCCAGGTCAGGATACCTCGTGTGATGTCTGTAAGTAATATTTCTTGTAAATCAATGTGTTAAAGAGCTCTAGATCAGAGACGTACAGGGCATTTGTTTATGGGCATGAGGCCACCCAGCGACTGGCTGTCCAGACATCGCCTTCAGACGGTCACGCATGGTAGAGAACCTAGACACGGGTGAGCAAAAGTATATAGTTACCAAATGAGAGGAAGCGAGTGGGTGGCCCGCTGAGCGCGGCGGTAGTGCTAGCGGGCGACCACGACAAATGGGTCGCGGTGATTGGCGGCCCTCTTTTCTCTTTCTCGACGCGTCTCTCAATCGCTCGTCGCTCTCTCCCTCTCCGCAGAAGGGGCCCATCTCGCCCCCCCCGTATCACAACAACAACAATAATAATAACGCGTCTGTCCGCAAGTCACTCTGTCGGGGATGCTACCCTGCAGAACAACAATTTGCATATGGACGATGTCGTTTAAGATCGTGGAATTGGCGTAGAAGGTGACGCCCAAGAGCTCGCGGCCGCGTCGTAACGGGGGTCAGGCCTTCCACGATGGCCAGCCCGGAGCCGCACATCCAAGAAGCGCGCAGTGTCGACAAGACTGTTCGACTCGGCAGGCACGCAAGATGCGAAGTGGTCTTCGACCGCCAAATATCAGAACACCAATGATCTACGATATGGTGGTGGTGGTGGTGGTGGTGGATAACCCTCGTACTATGGATGAGTATCGAGAGCCTGTTGGAAAGAAAGGAAAGAAAGGAAAGTGTAGAGAGGTGATGGCAGGAGCGTACGGTACTCCAACTGCTCTGTAGAGCAGGCCTTGTCCTCATCACCACCTTACGGCCACTGGAGACCCGGGTACCTGTAAAAACGGCGTTACCCGTAGTTACGGTGCGGATCCCTCTGTAAACAGCAGCCTTCTAGCGGAGTTGCATTCAAGATGCGAAGTGGTCTTCGATGAAGACTGTCTGGTCGCGCACTGCGTACTGTGGCAACCGACAGCGGCTGCATACTGTCAGGATCAAAGGGACGTGTTTATCGCGCGGCGCTCTGTTGGAACTCCTGCTCTGAGAAGCGGAGTCCACCGACGAGTGTCGTCGCCGCCGTGTAGTCGAGACTCGATGCAAGAAATAATGTCGATTCGGCCTATCAATGGGCCCTCGTTATATCAGACATAGAAGTCGATCGGGCCTAACCCATAAGAGACGGAGTTGTTCGCCGGGCAGAGAGAATTGCGAGCGGAGACAGTGCTGGCCAAGCGCATAGCAGACCGATCAGAGTCTTTCTCATCAAAAGAAAGACCGCCGATATATCCAGGCGTTTCGACGAACGTTGCTGTTGGTGAATAACAGCGACGTCTGTGGCAATGCCACACAACAAGTCCCGCTGTGTGGTTGACTGGCGTGAAAAACACAGTTTGACACGAAGGACAACATACCTGGAAATTCTGTGCCGTCTGGTCCAACTCGCGCTCGTAATCTTCGAACTCCCTCAGTAGCGCCGTTCTCCGCACGACGATACGCTTCCATGTTGTATACCTCTTCATTTTAACCAGCTTGCGTTGTATTTCTAGGACGAGCCTGTATGAAGAAGGTATGAGATAGTACCATAGGAAGTGGCAATTTATGTTTACTGGAGATACTCCTCGAGGGAGTGTTCGATCTTGGCCAATCTATCGGGATTCATATGCTTACCTTGCGTAGTGAGCTCGTCAAGCAGGCGGACGATGTCCGTCGTCGTCGTCTCTAGACGCCTGGACACGCCTTTTACAGCACGTCTGCAGACCTGACATTCCTCCCGCCACGTAGTCAGACAGATGTTATTATTCGATCCTAAATCGCTCACTTCGGCAACCTTAAGAGTAGTAACAACTACCCCTGCAACAGCTTTGAATCCTGGAACAGCTGCAAGCGCTTCTCCGACGTCCTTTGCAAGGGTACAGATCGTGCTGGAGGCCGTCAAAACATTGTCCGCCAACACGGTACTGTCGCGCTGGTCATGTACACTGGCAACCAACAAGGGTGAGGGCATTGAGTATGGGGCGGGGATCGCAGGGCTAACGGGCGCAGTAGAGGCGGGCATAAGACGGCTAGGGATATTGGAGGCGTTTTCCTGTGTTCGTTGACGAGCGCCTCGTCTCGCAATGAGTTTACCAACAAAGATGCGCATGCTGGTCGTGGAAGTCAGAACGAGAGCGTCAATAGCTGTATGCTTTCCAGGCGTGTATTATACGTTTTCCTGTACTGCCATGATAGATATGCTTCTTTAAGCGTCGCGTTACGTGGGCGAACGGGATAAGGCTGTACTCGTGAATCCGACAGCATGGGACGGCATTGCTAGGGTCGGAGGAAGGCCGCTCGCACGTAGAGAAACCACTGGTTGAATCGAGTTGCAGAATCGCTGCCCTTCTAAGAGCCAAAAGTATCTGGCACCGTGCACCGACTGCCGATAAAATTGGGATGAAAGTCAAATGGATATCAGCGAGTGATACACGCGGATGACAGATGACCTGGGTAGATGTCGAGACCAAAAGCAAATACGACATTCTAATGACGAGATGAAGAGGCTGTGAGCGGCTGTGCTGCTGTAGATGTGCGTGGTCGCCTCAACCAAGACAGAGAACATTGTGGAAAGAAGGAAGGAAGTTGGAAAGGTGGTATGCCGTTCAGGCTTTCGAAAGAACCATTGTATAAGTCTGGCGAATGGAAAGGGAGAATCGATGAGGAGCCAGCCAACAAATGCCACTGAGAAGAGGTCTGAGGAAGAATGATAGATTGTGCCAGGGCCCAGGCAGTGCACGTACTGTTCTGACACAGGTAAAATGGCATCCTGGGCTGTTCAATGAATTATTGCGTCTGAAATAGGTCCCCAATTGCTCATATAAGGGACTAGGGGTATCATTGTCGTGCGACATTGACTGTTGTGCTATCGATAGCAATCGCTTCACGACAAGAAGCACATCACAGCCTCTTCAGAACTGAAAACCTCTATAGACAGCGTCACAGCAGTTCTTGGTCGGACTTCTAAACAGGAAACATAAGCGCCAGCCATAGAAATGTAGAGAAGACGAATTCACACGTGATGATGTTCGGGGCGGAAGCAGAGTATAGGCGAAAGACAGGCGGTGGCAGGAGGAACATACGCGAGAGCCGCGATAGCTTCAACACTACCCAGACCGGACCTCTGGAGG